TCGTCTAACCTCAATTTCCTATTATTTATTCACAGGACAACTGTAGCAGAGGGGAGATATCAGAAGTCTGGCGACATATCATTGACAGTGTGATTCCAAGAAATATAATTAGAGTACTCCATAAATGTTTGCAATAGAAGAACAACCTATGGAGTCATGCAAAGACATTTGAACCTCCGGCAGAGTTGTGTATGGCCCCCATATCCTGCAGGGCTTGAGGAAAATAACTAAAAATTCCAAAGCGTAAGATTCCATAAACGGTCTTATTTGTAAAATGGCACAAAACACGCCAGACATACTTAAAACAGCTTTGGAAAATGAGGATTACGGGTCACTCACTACACCTGTGTTATATTTGGTTCATCAACTTTTGGTAGTACTATAGAAGAAATTCAGGAAAGGGTATAATCATGATTCACGATAAAATACAAACCTTTTAAAGTAAAATTGATTTTTCACACAGAAAACAATTTACTGAAAGTAGTTTTGGAAAATTATTTTTTTTTGTTCACATTTTGACCCAATAAAGAATATACATCAAGCTAGCAAAAGAATACTTGTATAAAACACTTGAGTGAATAAATTAAACGCAAGTACATGAAGAAGGTGGCATTTTCGAAGAAAATGGGAGTTGCAATATTTCTGCATTTCACAAAATTCTGAAGCAAAGAAGCATTCTGTTTAATTTGTCATATTTCCATCAGTACAATGAAAAAACACAATGAGCTCAGCAGTCAATATGACAAATTCGAAGAGCAACTTCGAACAGAAAATTTCCATGTGTTTGTATATTAATATAATTATACAACGACTTAGTTACTAAAAATCAAGCAATCCTATGCCACGCAATGTGGCGCGAAATGTCTTGTCGAAAAAATCTGTCATTTGTTTTTTTACTGATCTATACATGAAATGATAAAAGTAACTTTTTTTTGCATTACTGGAATTATTTAAACATTCGCAAAGATCCAGATTAACCCATGATCATGTGACCTCGTGAGTTAGAGTTGGTACTATAAAATCATTTCAGCCTGACCTTAGTATGCTGGTGACACATAAAAGATGCCAAACGTCAGGACAAATGTAATTAAAAAAACATTGAGTTTATACTGTAGTATTTTTGTCAATTTTAGGTCCATATATTTAGATTAAGTGTATGTAATATTCTTTCCTTATCCAAAGCTTGTTTAAAAATTTTGATGGTTGTACATGGAATTTTATGATTTTTTGTAAAAAATACAGTAACTTGCAATAATAGTGGAATGCAAATATTAATATGTAATTGCATTCGAAATTAAAGAAAATAATAAAACTTAATCCAACTGTTTAGTTGCATCACAATATATGTCACAAACTGAAACTATCTTTCAACTATACATTATCAAAAACTGTTTGCGGCCCTTTTTACAATTTTCAAAATGCAATGCGGCTCTCGAAAACCCATGAGTTTGACACCACTGATCTAGACGATTCAAGCATTGCTTTGGGAAATAATATCACTTCAAATAAATTGAAAAAAAAACTCGCTATATTGAATACAAAATCGTTGCTATCATAAAGGTAAACCAATTCAGCCACTCGGAATATATTGGCCTTCACAAAGCAATGGGGGCAAAATTGAGAGTTCATGAGCTATGAACTTTTGTTCTTTTCTTTGTCTTGAACTTTTCATACTCCACAGCCCCTATTAATTTTTTTTTTTAATTTCAATTACAATGTGATGGTCATATATCTTTAACTTGTATTTCCTGTCATGGTGTATTATCTCAATGTGTCAAACTTTTAATTAGTGTGCATATTTTGCTTCCAGATGACATAAATGTATTGTCTTGTTTGTTAACTCAACTTGGAGTATTGACAAGAAAAAGGTGCTAGTAAATTACGTAAAATTTTTTTTAACGTTTTGTTATAATTAGAATTCACAATTAATAGAAATTATAAACAGCCAACAATCAATGAGAATTATATGCGAAATCCCTCAGAATAAATTTGTCTTCTAAAATCGGAGGAAGGCAAAACATATAGGTAGTTCCCATTCACACAAGTCTTTCAAGAGGACTTGCTCGAGCCAAACTAAATGAGCATCGTCAGTTGATCGGTAAGGCTGAAAGTTGATTTTAGCCCTGCAACCTCCTGCATCGAAGATAATATTAATTATTGAGCTATGAGCTAAATTTAGACACAAACCTATCTACGGGGCATTATGTACCAGAAATGTTACCTACGATTAACTGAATATGTAATATGTCTAATAAATTTACCTACTAAAGCAAGTTCGATAGGTGCAAACTTTGTGTTATGGAATTGTACCACAGCACCGTAAAAAGAAGTACAAACAGTTTTGCTGTTTTGTATGACACCCTCTTTAAATGAAATTTCAATGTTTAAGCGCAAACATTAAAATTACAAACTTTGAACTTTGTCATTATCTGCAAAATGTTCCGCACAAATCTTTACGCTATCGCGTTTGTAATCTTCTCTGATAAAAAAAACGTCTATGATGTCCAGAATTACTCTTCACAGCTTGTCTGCAATTCCAGCTTTCCAAGTGAGCAAAACTTCTTAGATATAAGGATTATTTTCTTTCGTTACAGGCGCAAATAGGAAGGTACTACACGTAAAGAAAACGCCGAGTAGCAAAAGCGAGCGGAAAACGGTCGCGAAAGGCGACGAGAAATATGTGCATTGGAGCGTATCATGAAATACAATCTTTCGCCTGTAGCCTTATGGAGTGACGTCAGAGTTGCCTATCATGTTGTTTAATGTCATTACCGACATTCATAACCTTTGACCTGTCGCCACTTCCGCATTACTTTTGTGGAATCGAGGTGACCGCGGGTTTTTTAAATTTTTCTTGCGAAAAATACGGTAACTCGCGTTGGCGTGTCTGATTCGGAAAAGATCTTAATGTTCAGAGATGTCACTGTGCTGAAACTGTTATACTGTACTGTGTTTTGAACAGAGTTGTCAACTCTGACAGTTACTGAAAATGTTTGAGTACCGGTATACAAGGCCATGGGTATGAATGCTGGAACGTTCAGATATCTGGGTGTTGCGAAGAGTAGGTAGGGGTACCGGTACCGTACCTTTACGTATATTTAGTACCTAGTCTAGTTACGGTATTGACAAAATATACAAAAACAGGCAATGCAATTCTTGAAACTCAGGTTACGAATTTACCTATGCAGTGGCACAAGCGAGGAAAAAGGACATCTGCGGCTATGCTCCCTATACAAAAAATTCAGGTTTGCCCAGTCATTTTATATTTATTGATACAACCATTTTCCACATTTTTTTCAGAATTATTGTTCACATGCAACTTATTTACAGGCCAAGTCAACGAGACATATTAAAAAAAAAGATAATATCAAGAAACCATTAAAAAGAGGAATTTGCAAGAAAAAGTCAGATACATTAGGTCAAAAATAAATAAGCAGGAAGTAGAATTACACTTTTTAAGGACATTGGGACAGAACGAAAGATTTAGAAATGGAGGGCTTTACATCACACTCTCGGAAAGATATATCAAGACTGCAGCAACAAATGATCATAATTACAGCCAGGCTTTACCAGCGCAGACTACAATCGATCCACTATGCGTACTGACCGAGGCTACTGATATTCCAGAGTCTTCGAACCGCTCTAATCTAGTCCCGGATAGTTGGAATAGGGGGCAGCCAGTGTACCACGCAGTCCAGCAAAAAACAAATGCTTGGTTTGAGTTGAGGCAAGGATTGCTTACAGCGTCTATCTGTGGTACTCTGTTAGGTAAGGCTCTCTCTGCTAATTTCACAACAGAAAGGCTTGATAAGCAGTGACTGCTTTTCAAAGAATTACACAGTTGTCTAAACAGGTAAAATACTTTAGGTTTCAATGGCATGAAAAAAAATGGATGAAGAATGGACTCTCTTCAATAATGGTGACAAAGCCCCAGAAAATAACTGGCTGAACTATCGGCGCGGGAGAGCTTATGAAGCTATTGCACGAAGCAAATTTTGCACAGACTCTGGTAAGTAGTAAGGAATACGCTCGCCACTGCACCTCTGATTACTCTGCGTGGGGTCGCTGGTTCGAATCCCATGCAGGGATGGTTATGTGTGAGAGGATTGCTGGACTCCTCGCCATTGTAGGATGGTCCACGTAACCGCTGTTCGGTTACGGCTTCCTCCACCATCAAGTCCATGCTTTCGAAAACAAATAACTAACTAATCCCATACCCGACTTGAAGTGGTAACCGGACGAGAGGCTGTGGTTGGTCATATAGATAAGCTGTCTTATCGTCATTCCTCTCTCCCCCGAGATAAATATGTAAACCTATCCTATTTTCAAATAGGTCCGGCAGGTATTTTCTAAATAGGTCATATGAATGTAGGACTGTCCGATGCTTTAAAGTTAGTAAGGGCTTTTATTTGTCAAAATGAAAGCCTTTTCACATTGTTCTCAGGCATTGATGCTGTAGAATGCGGTTTCTTTCAATATGGATCAATGGGAGCCAGCCCAGACGCATTATTACCAACAAAAACGGACTACATTCTTGAAATAAAAACCAGGGCTGCCAACCAAGACAGCCCTTTGAAAAGCTTGGATAAGTCTCAAATTATTCAAACGCAGATACAAATGTTGTGCACAGGGAAGAAATTTTGCATTCTCCAATCCTATCATCCAGAGACTAATTGTTCAAATTACTTTTCCATACCATACATGGCCCATTTAGTGGATATAACACAAAAACTGCTGAATTGCATTAAAAATAGAAAAACCATATCTGAATCTGATCGCTGGGAACCCCCCAGTCTCATTCATGAGAAACTATGGTTGGCCAATTTTGGACAAATTCCAAACTTTTCTTCGCTGCGCCATCTGAGGTCTATGTACACCCAAGCGACCAGGCAATGTGCTCAAATAGAGGACATAAAAACACTATTTCAGTACATGTTAGATTACACCATAAACCTTGTGAATTGTGATAATTACTGTTTTTTTTTTTTGAATGTGTTGTTTTATATCGCTTTCGGGCAGTTTTCTTTCTAAAAAAAAAAAGTAATTTGAGATATCATCGGTCCTGGGTATCTGTCAACTGAAAAGTAGTTACACATACCGGTTTCACAAGTGTTGATATAGCCTGAATATGAGCCAAGAATCTCCATACGCTGTTAAGCAAGTCCAGTCTGCCACATGGCCACACAGTATTTATAATCCGAAAGTTTCTAAGATAACCAATCCTGTCAGAAATGCGATAAAAATGATGTTACAGAACCTCTGCTATCTTGTGTATTTCAATAATAGGTAAAGCAAGTTTAATAAAAAGTACCATCGCTCCACGTGGATCCTGAGGCAAGCAATATTAAAATTTTCATCACATTGGCCTTCTGTGAACTGACTGGCAGATTTCATCGGAGGCCGATTGTGTTCTGCTCCCTTTTCAGCTGCTAATTCACTAATAGCAAAGCCTGAAAAAATTAAAGATTATGTTGAACTCGGTTACTCTTAAAAAGACTCACAATTTTAAATACCCCAAGTCAAATTTAGCTTACCAATTGTCATTAAATCATGTTAGCTAGCTCTTACCTTTGTCAGTGAGAACTCCATCAAGAACTTGGCATTTGTTCAAAGCTCCGGAAATTGTTGTTATGTCGGTGTCGGTTATTGAGCCAGGGTAAAAAGTCTGGCACTTGACATAAAGCTCCATGAGGAGAAAGACAGACTAAGGCTTTAACAGTGTGACATTGTTTATAATCAGAAAAAATAATGTATTTAGGTTCAAGTCAGAAAATCGGCCAACGCGAAATTCTGTTGCATCCAGTATAAGTGCAACGTGACCAAAACCGAGAGATTTGAATTGTGTAGGCATCCTTGATGTTATCAGGTCATGCGAAGGTTGGAGGTCCAAGCTACTGAAAACAGCATCTCCAAATGTCACCCAAGCTTCGAATATTCTTGTTAGTGTAGGTTGAGAAACCTGTAGCATCCAGGCAACTATTGCAAGAGGTAGAGCATGGCGGCATATTGCCATTACAGCCAAGAATTCATTTTTTTTAGTAGTTTTTCTCTTTGTACTCGTAGCATTTTTGCAGTTTTCATATTGAATTAGGTGAAGAAATGGTTCGAGGCATGAATATATTGTTTGTAGGTCGCATCTATTAAAACCAGTGAACTGTTCTAATTCAGAGTCACTGAGAGCATCCCAGTGAAACATCATTCTTTGATTACATTTTTTCGTTAATGTTTGCTTTGAATTTTTTCGAAGTTTGTGGTGCAGTTCCTTAAGTTCAGATTTTAATTGAGAATTTTCTGACCTAATTTGCTGGATTTCAGTTTTCAATTTCTCCATATCTTTGAGTATACTGGACATTTTGGACTCTGAATTTGATTTTGAACTCCTCTGAAATAAAGTTCTCGCCTTATTGAATTTTTTCACACGAATAGTCCTGGCTTTAGCATCTCCATTTAAATTCTCCATTTTTCTATTCCTGGGTACTCTGATGTCTGGCAGATGTTTGAAATTTCGCCGAGGTTGACTCCAATGCCTTGAGCATATGTTCTTCCGGAGGTGCCAATTTACGCCATCCGTCTTTAAAAATGCTTTATAATATCTCAATATCGATTTTGTTTTCGGAACATAGTAGCACTGCGTCCAATTCCTCCAATTGGAGGTACATCCCGCCACACAGCAGTTCCATCGTAAAGGCATTATTGATAGATGAAAAACGTATATTATACAATAGGATATTAGAACTGTAGTAGCAGTAAAGCACATATGGATAGCACATACTTCAATACCTGAATACTGACAAATGATATGCAGGATAAGGCTACAGGGGTAAAGGTACCGTACCGTTGATTATGCAGATACTGTTACATTTTTGAGGCAAATAAACATACATACATACACCCAAAGCCCCACTGCTGTGCCGTACCGTAATCCAGCTCATCCATTTTCAGATTCTCCATTTGCCCTAGTGTTTTGACTTAAAACTACACTGTCGTACCTACAAAACCATTCGAAACACATGACAGTATCGTACATTCAACACCATGCTGCCATGACATCTCTGAACATTAATATCTTTTCCGCAGCAGAGACGCCAACGCGAGTTATTTTTCGCAAGAAAAATTCAAGAAAACCGCGGTCACCTCGATTCCACAAAAGTAATGCGGAAGTAGCGACAGGTCAAAGGTAATGAATGTCGGTAATTGCTCGAACCGACAAAAATGTAAATGGACCTTTCCCCGACATCAAAACATCCGTATTTTCAACCAATCACAAGCGAGCAGATGTAAACAAACATTCCCCGCTGAAAAGTCGCTCAGACAACTTTGGGCGCGTTCCGCACAGGTTGCTGGCGGTTTAGACAGATCTTTGTGCTTTCTTTCGCTTTTTGTTTTCTTCACAAGGCTGCGAGAATTAGAAAGCGGTAATACTGTATGTTACTTGTTGCAAATCACGTTCACGAAATCTATATATCTATATCTAAAGGCTGTACCCGTTGCAGGCACCTTACAGGTACGGTACTGTACAGGTCGCAAGTGCTATTTCGAACCAAAAAATAGTAGACAGTCATGCTGATGCAATCAAGGGTACCGGTAGCCTACCGTATGTCAGTACGGGAGAATTTGTCTTTGATACGATGTTGCATTTTTATTAAACAGAATCTATTAGTGAATTATTTTGGTAGACTAGCTATGTGTAAACGCTGCGCATATGGTATTTGTCGGTCTGAAAGCCTGTACGGTACCACTGCCGTTCAAATGGAGTAAGATTTGTGCCTTTTCCGAAGCCACATATTGACTGCCAAAAAGCAATGAGATGGATAAAGGAATGCAACAGGCCCCACAGTATATTCAATCTAGGAAAAATCACCAGAAATACCTTCGTGTGTACCAAGGTAGGCCAACATAAATATTGTTTTCGATACCTATGATATATTCAATATGTTAATTTTTATATGAAATAAATTTTCATACAAGCAATGCGTTCCATCATGCATTTTCATGGAGGCGATGGACCAACTGATGAATACTCTGACCCGACCCTATATCAGACTCTTGTCGCCCAACAGAGAAGCATCATCAAATTGTGAGGTAATGATTACTTATACCATAATTTAACTTTGGATCATAATTTAACAGGATCTGTCACCAGATACTTCATTTGATACAAAGACATGCGAATCTGACGAAAGTGAGAAAGGATTGTCAGGGATCCAACCAGTTCTGCCCCCAGACTTTACTTGAAACTACCTCAAGTGCCGCTGATGAAAAAGACAGCGCTTTGTCAGACAGCAGAAAAATGTAAGCAAGCATCATCATCATTTTTATTTTGGTTCTCTGGCATGAAACAACACAAATAGTCAACATACAAACAAAATGCAGAGAAAAGTGCAAGTCGAGCATAACTTGGAATAGATTTCAAAAAGTACGCGACTACCTACCAGAAAAAGAAATAATAATAATAAAAGGTCACGAAAGAATTAACAAGATTCAGAATCGAAACTGCAACTGCAAAGTCACACCAAGCTGCTCCTGATACCAGAAGTTGGCCCTGCACTTGGTAGTAACTGTGGTGTGTGATGAATACCCTTATTTTGTTAGGTTGTTTTGCATTTATTACTGTCATATAAATCACAAATTGTTCATAATCACCTGATAATTTTGGAACCGAACCAAGTGGTGGGTGTTTGCCCATCTGACTATATAACAATGAGGTAGTGCCCAGTGAGAGCAATTCTTCCATATCATCAGGAGATGAAACCAGGCAGCTTTAATAAAATAACTCGGACGCTCCATTGCTTTCATGGTTTTTGTTTGTTGTGCCCAAAAGCATATATCTGGTGTGTATTTTTATCCTATACAGCACAATATCTGCAAAACTGTATAATTTGTAGTAATTTTCTTGGATTTACTTGCTTGTTCCTTCATCATATATTTTTTATAATCTGTTATATTCTATTTCTACACTGAATGAATAAACTATATTGTAAAACCTATCAGATACCCGACTGTTTTTGGTTTAACCGGCATGATTGGAACTCTGGCTCGATCTAACTTTGTGGGATTAGCACCAACTACAGACGACAAAACTGTTGGATCTATTTTGTTCCCTCCATATAGGTTGTTACCAATGCTGGGGTAGGCTTGTACATGCTTGGCTCAGCGGAAAATCTTTTATTCCCCTTAATTTCATATGTTGGATAGTCTTGGTTAGTTCATTTAAACCATGTTAATCACTATAACATTATTGGTCTTGTAATTTTATGTGGTATGTAATCGATCATAATACTTCAATAAACCTGTTGAATCTAATCTTTCAATAGTATATTTGCACCCATCTTACTGAGCTAATAAATCTGTGTTTCTATGATACGACATAAACTTAAGTGGCCTCACCGTGCCTAGCATGTACAAATTGCATCAGATACTTGGTGACTATCCAGCGACACCACTATTTGAAGATGATGTGGTGGCAGACTGGCAGAGACTCCTGAACTTATCTGTAGCACTTGGCTTTGAAATTGACGACTGAACCATCATGAATGTATCTGAAAAAAATATTCACCTGTTCAAAATTACAGATTTCTGTAGTTTGTGCAATGTTTCCAGGAATGTATTTAAAAGACTTTAAACTTCCCCTGCATTTCATTTGCTTCTATGCTAAACCCACCAATTCAGCCCTAACTTGGACGCTATCTATCAGTCTATGAACTATAGGATATGATAACGGTAAGTTTAAATATTACCGTTCAATGAAAAGTATTGTATCCTTCTCCTGCTGGGCGAAAGAAAGGTTCTTGGAGAACCAAGTCATCTCTGAGTAATTTTTATTTTTGTATGGTAAATAAGCTTTTAGAACTAAGTTAGGTACTGAATAGTGCATGATTGCCACCAGGTAACTATCAACTAAGTTAAGTACGTTAACGGCAATGTGAAGACGGAATAACGTTAATAATAGATCACTTGACAATATGTTATAACGTTAGAAGCACGAAAATACCGCCATCACCAGTGAAATGCCATTCGAAGGACTATAAAACGAGCAACGTACCACTCTATCGCCCTACACAAGCCTGAATATTTGCAATGTTTGTCTGAGCGACCAAAATCAAAACAATAAAGGTCAAAGGTCGGGGAAAGGTCCCTGACACATTAATTTTAATAAACGGCATTTCCAAGCCAACATTGCAATGTAAATATCTGTAAATTCATGTTATATGTTTGACTTGATTTTTTAAAGCTAATACGCTTATGAAAGTAAATAAACGGTAACGTTTTATTATTTGATGACGTCATGAGCACGTTTAAAAATCGGTAAATCCCCTTTTAACACTGATTGGCTAGTAGAAAACATTTGAAGGTGATTCCCCTAAAGCGGAACCGTTTATGGGCCCAAACAGCATTTTATTACAGCAATACCTACCGGTATGTGTGAGTGATAGAACCATATCTTGAACCATAAACCTGTAAAATGGTACAATAAATTAACGATTCCCACATTGAAACCGGAATAGAAACCGGCGAGTTTGCTTGTTTGAGTCATTTTATTGACTTTTCTGTTGCAGGAATAAATATTAATTTCTGTGGAATCCCATGAAAAAATGTTAAGTTTGGCAGCTCAGTTTCTTCATGCATGTATATGTCTGTATGTTAGGTCACTGGTCAGAAAGTTATGTTCTGTTGTTTGTCGTTGAAAGATATCACTACTAACAGACTAATGCTTATTTATTCTTGTGATCGAGTTTATTAAAATAGCAGTGTGTTTTATGTTGTGTTGTGTCTCTATTTATAGATGTTGTTTTGTTATACAAACTACTTTGTACAAACAGTTTTGTATACTCTACCCTTACCTCTGTTACCACATCCACCCACCCTCCTTGCAAGGACTATATTATACATATTTGATTTCCCTAATTATGATTTATACATATCAAAAGGGGTGTATGCATATTAGTGTTTTAGGCCATTATGGTCTTGTGCATACATACCGTCTTCAGTAATTATAATTACTAATTCTTTTATATTGCTTTTATGAGACGAATAAACAAACATACAAACCCAAACATACAAACTAACATACAAACCCCAACGCTGACAGAAATCATCAGAAATTGCTACTAGTGCTTTTCAGCTTTTCCTTGGTTAGGTCGAGGTCAACTGTTTGTCAAGAGACAGCTACATAGACTATATACATATTCGGATTTGTTATTCCATGGCAAATTATTTGATCTATCACATATTATGTATTATAAAGTTTGGCATTTAGTACCAAACTTACCTTTAAAAAAGAAGTAAAACCATGCACACGTAGCCCTTTACACAGTGTGACATATCCACTTTGTATGTCATAATGTGGCTCTTGTGAACGCATTGAATCCGTAAAATTTTGAACTGGTATCATCTTTTATAGAGGTCGGACTATCTATGTATTGTGCAAATACATTATATCAGAAAACTCTATTCTTCTGCTTGGACAGGAGTAAGCATATAGCACAGGATGGTCCAGGCCCGCGGGCCACATGTGGCCCGCCGCTTCATTATCTGTGGCCCGCGTGACATTCGGAGAGTAATCAAAAAATTGCGTTTTGTGTTGTTTCATGATAAAATCAATCAGAAAAATCTTTTGACATATTGTCATCACTGATGTCACTGAATTAAATAGTGTTATCTGGCTTTCTAACTTTTTGGTCGGGAATGTATACAAACAATATAGGCATCATAGAAAACTAAAAATCAAATGCGGATTCTATTAGCCTAGAATGGCTATGCCTGATAACTATGTATTGCACAATAAAGGTGTTTGTTTTGTATTGCACTGTTTACCTATTCTTGTCACTATTGTAGCCCGCGAACAATACAAAAATAATTTTGTGGCCTGCTTAGCCAACAACTTTGGACCAGCCTGATATAGCATATAAATACTTTGTGAGATACAAGTGCCAATATGACAGTTTTCCAATTCTATAAACAGCCCCCACATTAAAATACATCAATTATAACAGTGAGTGCTTATTCTGGGCCAAATCGGCACAATAAACTTAAGTTCAATCTGAAAATATCCACTTTGGTTCCTCAAAAAACAACCTTGTTTACAGAAGGAAAAAAAAATTATCGTAACATTCCAGAGTTTTTAGCAAAAAAACATAGAGGGGATATAAATTTTGGCCCGTGACGACCATCGCATCGCAAATCATTATCGAGACAAGCATGGCATGATCTGACACATCTGTTATTATTCCAGGTACCCTCATTTCATAGAAAAATAGAGCGTTTGTTTTATTGGAACAAATTTTGGGACATTTTGAAATTAGAGAACTGTGCCCTGCTGAGTAAGAGATACTGTTTGCTGTATAGATATTCGTATTTTCTAGAAAGTTTTCAGCCTCTCTGTATGTGTGCCTAGAATCCTTTTATTGACCTAGCTTTGAGGCCATTTCAGTGTATTATACGTGTGTATGTATCAGTATCAAACGTATTAGTATTGTGATCTGTTGCTGTGTTTAGCATGACTGCCAGCGACATCACTATTTTAAATACATAAATAAAATATTTTTGAATCTGGAATTACAGATACAATTTATATATAAATATTTTTCAGGTAAATTCATCAAAATAGAAATCGAGATTTAACAATGTTATCTTCTTAGAGTGGATAAGATATAAATAAAACACATGGCATGTCTGATGTAGTTGAAAAATCAATTGTTTCTGAGTGAGAATAATGTGCTTGGGTAGTCTAAATTGGTAACTAGCTATTTATCTTTTTGGTCAGAATTATATGCTAACAAAATAGGCTTTATAGAAAACTAAAAATTGGATGAGGAATCTATTAGCCTAGGTCGGCTATGTCTGATAACTAAATAATAATGATATGGTCATACAATATAATTCCTGCCGGGTGTTTTTTTGCAACCGCCTAAACAGTATGAAAAAAAATGAAAAATTGCTGCCTGTATGTCAGAAAATGTAGTAATTACCCTTCTGTACCTTAAAAATTCGGTGATCAATCAATATGCATATATTTATATGTTATTTTGTAAACATTGGGGTTTGAAAAGAAAGCTGACCAATTCAAACAAATTTTAGACTGTATATGTCTGCAAGTTGTGTCGGTGACAATCTAAAATGACATTTTCTCCTTATGGCACTTCTTCGTTATGAAGTATTTGAAATCTTAGATTTTCACACATTTTAGTGAGGTTTTTAGCTTGTTTTAGATTGATAAATGACAAATAATGATCAAATTGTTTGGGCAATAAAAGTGTTTATCTTGCATTGCACTAATTACCGTGGCCCGTGAGGCCGACAACCTTAGACTGTTCGTTCGTAGCTTTGCCAAAATCATTCTCTTAAATTTCTGGAGTTTTCCTAACAGTTCATTGAATAAATATATAAAAAAAATTGTGATATTTTTATCTTTTAATATAATATTGACATTCCAAATTGTTGTTTCGCTTTAAAATTTGACATGAGAAAATTTTCATTTCTCATAAAGTAACTTATCCAAAAGTGCGTCCAAAGTTATCCATGCGAACCAGATGGCTAGTGACATATTATCGAAACCCAAACTTCAAGTTGGTTGTATTGGGTATTTCTAGAAAAGTGGGAGTCATGATTTTCAGACATTCTGATTTTCAGGAATGCTGATTTTGATTAAAGTCCATGAACCTGAATAATGAACTGGTGAATTACGGTAGGTGTTGATTTGTAAGTGGACAAGGGACCTTGGCTTGCAATAGAATTAAGCTTTCTTATTGGCTTTCTCCTTCTTCGAAATGAATATAAAAAAATTCATCCTAACATTTGATAACTTTGGTACAGTATGTTAGGAATTTTGTCATTCTGCGGTTTGGTGTTTGTCCTAAAATTATCTACTGCAAATCAGATACCTGTAATTATTCTTCTTTTGCTTGTCTAGGTACTTGCTAATTTGAGTATCCCTCTAACCATGCCACTAGCGGCTGTATTTGGAGAGCGGCCCTAGGAAATCATTTTATTACAAAAAGCAAGTCTATGCTTTTTATCATTTTATTGGATAAGTTGAGGTCAAACATATATATTGTTGAAAAATAATCTAGAAATCAACATTTTATTTTGTTGCGTCATATCAATTTAACTGTACGAGTTTATATCGTCAATAGGAATAATATTATCAAGTGGAAATATCTACTGCAGGGTCTTTAGAAATGTAACAAATAGAAATTTACATCAAACAATGCACGACATGCATTTCAAAGTATTTGCATATACCGTACTTGCGATTGAGAATTTTATTGTATAGGTCCATATTGAGTGCGATTGATTTTGGGCCACATCACAATTGAATATGGCAGGATACAGGATACAATATTTTTGGGTAGATTCAAAAATATTCTCAGTTTTCGAATTTTCTTTACAAGAATTCATTACCCATATATTTGAAGGGTTAATATTTTCATGCTTATTCAGAGAACACGAGGACAGAAAAAGGGTACTCCCGTAGTATGTGTACCAGATTAGGGTTAGACCATAATTTTATTCCGATTTTCCTTTTTTTAGTTGTATTACGAGTTCGGGACTGTCTGTGTTAGCCAAGTGAATATACCCTCTGCCCATAGGTTTCAGTCCCTTTACACAACTTGATGTAAAATAGGCTTTTGGTACACATATTCTAGAGCGCCGAAAAAAGAATTGTATACCATGGTACTTTATCTGTTTAATAATAACATGTTTAATTAAAACATTGATTTAGTGATCTGGTATGCTTAAGTATAACATATCTTTCATTCGAATGTTCTTATTCATAACATTTAGAAAAACAACTAATTCCACAGAAAAATATAAACAATTGCTCATTCAGATGGTTTATTAGGAAATATATTCTTATTTCTGTTAAATAATTTTAATTTCAAGCATTGCCTAATTCAATTCAGCGAGAAATTGTTAGAGAATTAATGTACCATGACTGAGCAAAATAGCCTCAATATCAGTGCTTTTGTCGTTTTATATATTATGGTTGGGTTGTATTGAGGAAGTGATTGACTAGACCCGGAGTAGAATGTGCACAATAGAGAGCATCTACCGGTAGTTAGAAATACTTTAGTTGAGTTGCAGAGACAAATAATTTCTCAATGATGAGATTATTTTTTGTTTTAATTGAAATATTACAGTTGTTTCCAAGTTCTGCTATGTCACAACTCACAATCCAAATGACACCAATCACCTCAACCCAACAAGTGTAAATTGTAATTGAGCTTGTAAATTGTAATTGAGCTCTTATTAGTGATAATATCATGACCAATATATTACACATCTGAACCTACAAATTGGCATTTTTGAGTTTTTTGATTTGAAGCAGACATGGAGAAAGCTGTTCATAATATGGCAATAAAAATCAAAATGATTATTTTGGGACAAATTCTTTTATTATCATTATTTAACAAATCCAGAAATCATAGTCATTCATCTGTTTCATAGTCTTTGTGGTATTTCTGGTGGTAAAACTACTAGTTTAGGGGCATGGTCTGTATATATTGTTCATAGAAATATTCCTATCTTCTATTAACTATGATTTTGAATACTAAAGGGTTGATTACTTATCGATTTTAATCGGTAAGTATGATGATAGGTATTTGTCTGTCTGTGTGTATGTCTGTTTGTCTGTTAGATGCATGCGATATCTCACGAAGGCGTGGTTGAATCTGCTCCAAATTTTACATGTGCATTCATCATATCTCGGACCAGAAGCCTATTGATTTTGGATGAATTATGTCGTATAATTAGCGAGTTATTAATTAATTAGTGATGAAGAGATCTGGATTTTTACAAAGCGAGAGATTTTTGAGACGCACTGAATGTGTGTGTGCGTGTCCGATGCGCAAGTTTTCACGCTAGTGAGTGAGAGCGAAGGATACACACCGCTAGATCGTATCTCGTGATTAATCTTTAAGCTTTGTCCATATCTCTCTTGTAACTTTGACGTCGTCGCGATGCGCAAGTTCCTTCAAGAAATTTTCCACGCTATTGAGTCAGAGCGAAGGATACACACCGCGAGATCGTATCTCGTTACTTATAATTACTCTTCAAAGTTTAAGCAATGTCCATATCCCTCTATCAGGTTCGGGGTTGCAGAATTCATCACCAAAATATCGCTAGGCTGTGTTTGAATAGCCGTCGCAACCCGGGTTAGCGCCGTTGTATATGACACAAAATATAGGATTGGTAAATAGGCTATTGGCTGGAAACTAATCGAAACAATCCAGTTCGGATTTGCAGAATTCTTCATAAAAGTATTTCCTCGAGTAGTATTTCGACGACGACATGGGGAGTTGGCTATTGTTTCCTACATTTTTGATATTGGCTGAAAACTAATCAAAACAATCCAGTTCGGGTTTGCAGTTTCTGTTTTGGGGATCCCCTAACTTTCGATCGATAAGGTTCGGTCTCTGACCGATATTCTCGTTTATTAATTACCGGTAATTGTTATTGATAAATTTTACAAAGGTACCAGTAAACAGTTTTTCCATTAAATGAATTCGATGAAGATCCCTGAAACAAGGCAGGCTGTATGATCTCAGCATTACTAGAAAGTATTAGTACTGCTATTTTTTGGGGTTATGTCGAACTAATAGTTAAGTAGGCCCCATTTTATGGTGAAAGTGCCTAGTTTTATTATTCTCAGTTTTCGATTTTATTTACTAGAATTCGTTACCCATATATTGCAAGGGTTAGTATTTTCATGCTTATATAGAGAATACAAAGGCAGAAAATAGGGTACTTCCATAGTATGTGTACCAGGTTAGGGTTAGACCATAATTTTATTCCGATTTAACTTATTTTAGATCTATTACGAGTTCGGGTACTCCCATAGTATGTGTACCAGGTTAGGGTTAGGGCATATTTTATTCCGATTTTCTTATTTCAGATCTATTACGAGTTCAAGAATGTCTGTTTTAGCCAAGTGAATATACCCCCCGCCATAAGTTTCAGTCGCGTTACACAACTTGATGTAAAATAGGCAAACAAAATTAGTTACCTCGATATTGGTACACATACCGGTACTTCTGAAGCGTCGAAAAAAGAATTGTAAACCATGGTATTTTTTCTGTTCAATAATAATTTGTTAAATTAAACCATTCATTCGAATGTTCTTATTCATTACATTCAGAAAAGTAACTAATTTCACAGAAAAAGATAAACAATTGCTCATTTAGATGATTTATTAAGATATATATATACTTATTTTTGTTGAATAATTTTAATTTTAAGCATTGCTTACATCAATTCAATTGGTAATTTTCAGAGAATTAATGTACCATGAGTCCATGACTGACAAAAATAGCCTCAATATCAGTGCTTTTGTCGTTTTATATATTATGGTTGGGTTGTATTGAGGAAGTGATTGACTAGACCCGGAGTAGAATGTGCACAATAGAGAGCATCTACCGGTAGTTAGAAATACTTTAGTTGATTTCCAGAGCCAAATAATTTCTTAATTATAAGAATATTTTTTGTTCAAATTGAAATATTATAGTTGTATTCAATTTCTGCTATGTCACAACTCACAATCCAAATGACACCAATCACCGCAACCCAACAAGTGATAGAACTGAGCTATCTTGTTAGTAATACTGGCATGCCTAATTTATCACAAATCTGAAACTACAAATTGGCATTTTTTTAGTCTTTTGATTTGAAGCATGCATGCAGAAAGCTGTTATAGTATGGCAATGAAAATTAAATTGATTGTAATGGGATACAAATTATTGTACTGACATTTAAAATTTATGTATTATTTAATAACAAATCATAGTTTTTCATCTGTTTAATTGTCTTTGTGGTATTTTGGTGGTAAAACTATCAATTTAGAGGCCTGATCTGTATATATCGTCAATAGGAATATTTTTTTCCAAACTGAGGTTTCAGTAAATAGTTTTTCCAGTATATGAGTTCAGTAAATAACCCTTTCTGAATATCATTTGTTTGAAATTTCACTCAAACTAAATTTCGTTCATTTTCCTAGCCATTAATGCATTCCTCAAACGAGGCAGGCTGAATATTCTCACCATTACTATCAAGTATTAGTACTGCTATATTCAAATATTTCTTGGGGTTAGGTTGAACTAATAGTTAAAAGTAGGCCCCATTTTATGGTGAAAGTGCCTCGAATCATTTTGCTTGAGTTACCAAGACTAATACTCAATCAAAGGCATCATTATGAATATTATTACAGACTTCCGTCCTCACTCAAATCAGAATCGTTTTATGGTTGAAGGCTGTATGATGTTGTAAATGTCCTCTTGGCAACCCGAGACCTCTAATAATAGTTGCATAGAAAATAAGAAATAGTGACAAAAGGTTGCTTTTATACTCTGACTCATCCGTTAATATATTTTCCAGAGTTGAGGGGATATATTTTGGCATATGAATAAGTTAAAAAAGCTAAGTGTTGTCTTTGGGATATTTCAATTTGCCATCATATACAATACAATTCCCATTGTTTTCTTAGAATGTTTTTTTCTACAAATTTCACTAATATTTTATTAATATCTCATTGATGCATAAAAAGACACTGATTTTAGTTTAGTTTAGGCAGTTGCTTGTATATATGTTATATTTATTCACTTTTCCATAGTGATATTCATAGAGTCAGTTGAGTTTGCGTGTTAACCTTCACAGTATCTGCTGAGCAATTTATTTGAATTTATTATGGAATTATTCTTATATATACATGCTTTATGAAATTTCTTTTATATATATATATGCTTCATTCAATGAATACATGATCAATTTATAATCAATTTGCTGCATAAATGTTAAATTTAAATCTGTGTAATGTAATATTCAGATAGTCAGCCAAGTTAGGCTTTGTAAACCCTCACTGTATCTGTTGCTATTCAGTTGTTTTATGTGCATGTACGGTATGTTTATTTGTATCAAAATATAGCACTGTTGGTTGTATATCCGATATGGAATACGGAAAATTCACCAGTAATATCTCAGCGTAATACACAAATGCACAGTACAACAGGGAATATGTGAAATTGTCAGTCAATGACAGGGCCCCTGTGCCAATGATAAATATTTCGTTGGGCTACTACACAAACTGATTGTGTGAAAACAATAAATACAATAAATTTGTACAGGAATTTGGATATTGAATTATAACAAGAGTCATTTGTTTGACATTGGTTTGTGGGATAAATATACATTGAATATGACAAAAGAAATGGAAACAATAGAGAGTCTTTAATTAAAATCAATAATCTAGTTCAGGGCTACTCAACTATTTTTATCGAAGGTCCGCAAACAAAACTTCAAAATTATTTGGGTCCTTTCTTTCCAGAAATGATATTTCGGCATCTTTAAACGAGCACTTCCTCGACCGACTAATGATTAGTAGTAAATTAAAATTGTTCATTATGGTGTTATAGTTCTTTTCGTATATATTTAAAACTATGAAATTCATTTTATAATAGGAAATTCAAAAAGTGGGGCTAATGATCCAAAATAAATAATTAGGTGCGGTCCAAATCCAATACTCGAAAGGTCCGGATTCGGACCGCGGTCCGCCAGTTGAGTAGCCCTGATCTAGTTTACAAAAGGGAGGTTTCAATAAAAGAACTGTTAGAGGCCAATGAACAATAAACTTATGTTAGACAAAAGATCAGTGGGTGAATTCACTTTACTGGAAATTGTATCATGATCAATAGAAATTTTGTTTTGTCCACAATGGTTTCATCTTTCATTTGTGCATGTTTTTATTCGACTTCTTTGGGTCTAATTAAGCATTATTCGCTTCTGAAGAAGAGTTTCCATCAAATTATGAATTGTAATGTGATTCTTATCAATGTTTATAAGAAACAAAATTGACTACTGGCATAGTTGTGATATTATTTACAAAAGTGACTCCGTTCCCTGACTACATATTAACAATATCAGTTTGAATTGAGATATCAACTCGCTCTCTTATTTTATATTTTGAGGGTTGTTTAATTTTGACTTTATTTAGACAATGGAATCAACATCTATACTCTTTAGGCTGCATGTTATCATAATATATTCGAGAAGTTTTATGTGTATTCCTTACGATAAAACATAAAATGTCAAGGGTGAATTCAGGAGCAATGTCAAGTAAGTAAATTTTAAAACCTATTTGAAATATATAGTCTTGAGCTTTCCAAAAAGGTTTTCTGCCCGAAAAATTGCAGTAAGTGCCAGCTCATTCAGACTTGAATGTTGCAATTTTTGTTTCATATATTACTGGATAATGCTGCATTAATCAACTTTGTTAATCCTGGCATTTTTACTGTTTTTATCATTTTAAAAGGACAACAGGTATCAAATAATCACAATTGAATTCAAAAACTGAAAAACATGTTTGAAATAACCATTTTTATCATATGAACTGACAGTTTTCTGTTTATAGCAGACATAACTTTTTCCAATTAATGTGGGAATATTGAGGTCTTTCTAAACTAAGTTCACATTTTAAAATAATTGAACTAATGGTCATTCCAATAAATTGAATGCATTAAAAAATTTCTGTATCACATTCACCTTATGTGATTGTGTTTATAATACATTTAAACATACCGGTACAAAAAATTTCTGTATTGCATTTATTTTATCTGATTGTGTTGTTTATTTATAGTTTGTATATTTTTTGACAGATATTGGCAAACCATCAATTTTAAATGTGAAATGGGAAAAAAATAAAATAAAAGTTAAGTGGGAAGAAGGCAAAGGCGCAATAAGGCACGTTTTAAAAGTGGAGAGTGAAGGCAATATTGTACTGAATGAGGAACTAACTCTTACTAAGAAGCAAACAAAACAAAGCTATACTTTTGATATGAATGAATATTGCACATATGGGAAATTTCTTAGATTTATCATTGAAGCAACAGGAGAAGGAAAAAAATTTCAACAAATCGAAAAAGAAGTTCTAATAGGTTAGAATTGCTATGATTTGACTATTTTGTAAAACCTCCCAACTTTGGTATTGGAGCAATTGGAGAACATTAAATACTCAAAAATCTAAAAAAAAAGTTTTAATAGGTTGGAATTACTAGACTTGTCTGTTATCAATTGAGAAAAATCATTCAATACTTCAATAATGATTAATAGCAAAAGTTTCAACATAGGAAATGAATAAAACAATGCTATACAGAAGTTTTTTTTTTTAATTTGCAATTAATATTTGAAAATGTCCTCAAATACTTGAAGGCTTTGACAAAATGTGATTTACCGGTAATACTTTTGAATGTACCTCAATTATAATGTTTTCGAATATACCGTAAAAAGTATTAATATTGATAGTTTGAACACTGCTTCGGTTACATGTGTTGGCTTCATTTTTTCTGATTTATCATGATATATTTATTCTCTTGTAAATCCTACTAAAATATACTATTTACTTATTTCAGTAAAAAATTTGTAAATAGTTGTGTTAAGCAATTTGAAATGCAACCAAATTCTGAAACTTTGTTGAGCTCTGAAGGTATCTGCATTGAGTTGTGATTGTTTTTTAGGTTTACATGTCTCTCAAAATATTATTACTTTGTCAGTAAATGCAGGTACTATTAAATCGAGTCCATGTATTAATAATACTTTGTCCATGCTTATGGAACAATTCACTGCATAACATGAGAATGTGGTAACAAAGCCATTATATCACTTTTCATCTCTGGGTGTGATAAGCTTAACTGAAAAATATACAATCTGTTTAGGTGGAGACTATGCTGTGAAAAATGTTGTTGCAAAGAAAGACGATCAAAATCCAAAGAGAAATATTATTGTTTTATGGCAATCTCCCAATACTCCCCCTCAAAGCTACAAAATTAAAGTACAAGAAGTTCAACAGTCATGGAAAGGTTCAGAGAAACTGATATTGGTTAATGAGATAAGTGCAGTGAAACAAACTCAAACATTCTATAAGTTTATTGAACTAAAAACGAGTACAGAATATTATTTTGAAGTCGCCCCAATCTATGGCAATCAAACATTAGATGGAAGCATTTCAAACAAAATTAAAACTGACAAAAGTAAGTGGAAAATTCACGAAAGTTTTTAGTTTTTAGAGACCTCAGCACTCAAGCACAAATATATTTGTGTTTTTTGAGATTTTAAAGCAATTTTTCTTAAATTCAAGACATTATATGCTTTTTTCCATGCATAAAAATACAGAGATGAATTATCACAAATATATTCGAAATTTCTAATGATTAAACCATGTCTAGTAAAAGGTCAAGTGGTATGTCATTGTATCATGCTTGAAATAAATTATCATTATAAGTTCTGGATTCAAAGAATGCTAAGGTTAAGGTTCCAGTCATGAAGATGGGATATGCTTATGATGTAAAATTTAAGACTTCTTACATTGAGATTGATACGGGAAAAGAATGCTTTGCTTTGAAAGGGTACGCATTCAATACAAGTAAGATAATATATATACAGTACAACCAGATATTATATCTGATTGTAAATATACAATGTTAAATTACTGAAATGAAATCTAAATGAAGATTTATCTCACTTCGTAAATGTCCATATGATTACTTAATTGATACATGGTTAGATAAATGGAGATTGTATTTTAATATGCTCTAGGTACATTCACAAATTTCTCTCGGATACACAGAAACTCATGAGTCTAGATGCCATACTCGCTAACATGCATACGATCAATATAAAATTTTTTATATTGCTATATCATTTTCAAAGTGTTTCATAGAAACCATAATGAATTTGCATGCCAAGCAATGCTTAGTATTTTTATAGGACGGTTTTTTAAAACTTCATTGGTATTTCGAATTTCACATTATAGTTTCTTTATTAAGGTCGTTCAAAAACCAAAATTCATGACTGTTCTTGGGGCAACGGAGTTGTAACTTTTAGTTGGGATTCGGTCGATGGAGCAAAAAATATCAGTTGAATATAAAAGATGAATTATTAAAAGAAAATCTTTCTGAGCATACCAACAAGGTTGATGAGAATGATGATGGATGTCTCGTCAAAGTTCAAATGACAAATAAGTTATGCATTGGCAGAGTGTGCATGACAAAAGTAATTACTTACACTGACAACAATTTAACATCAGAAACTGACTGGAAAGCTCATTTAATCGGTATGTGATTTCAATATAATCATTTATGATTAAATATGTGATCCAACATAGCAAACCACTAATAGAGTCTTTGTACGGCCCATCTGGCTGGGTGGTTTTGTAGCCTTAGCAAACCTTTGCCAGAATAATAAAAGTACCAAAAGTGATTGATTTCATATAGATCTGGGTTGAACTTTTGTAGCTTTAAATTGCATTATGCCCTTGCATGTAGTCCTTGCTTTTTCTACTTGAGTTCTTTTTGGTATGATATCCAGGTGGAGATCTTGTACCCAGGAATGTAAAAGCAGTGACGAATACTGAGAATCCAGAACGTTGCATAAATATCACATTTGATGCCCCTTATAAAGGCCAGGCAGATGAATATATTATAGAAGCAAAACCGCAGAAAGGGAGAACCAAAAAGATGACCTCTAAATCTAACTCAGTAACTTTTGAATATCTTAGAAAAGGAGTGGAATATAAATTTCTTGTGTTCGCGAGTCACAGTGCAAAGTCGAGTGTTGGAAGTCCCTCTAATGCGATCAAAACTGAAGGAGGTATTTAACCACGTTTTGATATTCTGAAATAAATCAGTACAGTATATTTTATTTATATGTTGCTTTTAGAAATTGTAAAACCAATAAACACAATTCAAAAGCTGTTAGAAGTCATTTCAAACTGTTAAAGTATAAAGTCTGGGCAATTTTTCTCTTAGTCATGATAAGTAGATAAAACAATAAATTTCAACATTCAGACAGCACAGGTGCATTTTTCAATTTTGGGGGTGCTATGGGAACGTATGACTTGAGAAATGCGACAATATCTGGCAGCACAGCAAATCTAAATGTTATCCTGGGAGATGATTTTGGTGAGTCCTCTCAACTATATATTGTTTTTTCAACCGAAAAAAGAACATACATACAATTGATAGTTTAACCCAGCGTTTCCCAAACTGTGTTCCGCGGAACACTAGTGTTCCGCGAGCGTCTTCCGAGTGCTCCGTGGAGAAGGAATCAAAAATGTCGCCATTGCGATCTAGGGATCGTGAAGTTATCGCCCAACTGACCGTTCAATTTCGCGTCATCGTCGGCCTAAAGCGGACTAACTACTGTTGAGTAGTGGCATTTTCGTTAACTGTCTGCGTAGCTTTTTGACTGTTAAGTACAGCTATCCTTTTGGTTTTGTTATAAGCAAACAAGTGGGTCTAAAGAATAAAAGCAAAGAGTCAACTCTTCTTCCTCCGTCTCTGCCTGGCTTTACTATGAAATGCTGAAAAATTACTCATGTTCGCTAAATTCAATTCAGCAGATGAATAAACTGCAGCTCGCGAAATTGCAGCAAGTACTTTTATCTCTATTAGAGGTAACATTGGAGGCAAACACTACGTGATGGAAAGTAAACGACATAGACAGCTAAAAAATTGTGAATTGGTGAATTTATTGATTCAAATTAGGAAACAATAAAACATTTATAATAAATGCAATATGTAAAATATTCAATCATATTTCAGGTATGTTTAACCATAGTAGTATATATTTACGGTTTGACATACCGGTATTTACGGTTTAACCGTAAATATATACTAGCTAACCCATTGGGAACCGCTACATTACACCGTTTTTCTTTATCAATTTTAGGTTTCCATTTTTTGGGGTTTCGCGAGGCGAGATAAAAAGTCTAAGTGTTCCGTGGCCGAAAAAGTTTGGGAAACGCTGGTTTAACCTACCATTTAAGTAATGCTGAAATTTGAAAAAAATATACTTTTTCAGGCAAAGTCAGAGATTTGGAAGGAAAGATCACTCCTAATCAGCGTAATGACAGTATGACATTAACCTGGAAGATCCCATCATTTGACAATAAATTAAACGATTACAAAGTAGAGCACTATATTGTTAAAATACAAAAACAAAATGATAACGAGGAAAAAGAATTGGTGGTACCATTCATCAAAGGGCGTTATGAGTACCCTACAAAACCTTATGATTTAGAAGTTGGACACACCTATGACATATCAGTGGCAACCCTTTATGATGATATTGACAGGGATGCAACTTATATATCCAGTGCTGTAAAGAAATTGGTTTATACAAGTAAGTTACAATGCAGCCTTGTGGCTTGTTTTTAATTTTAGTTTGTTCATGCATTATTATCCATGTGGTAACAAAAGCATTAGAATTTATGCTGGGCAAGAAAAAGTACTATGACACAAACTCAATTATGTTCCCTCTCTGCATTTGTACGTTTTGATAGTAAATTTTAAATCAATAATTCTTAACTGATAAATTGTTGTAATGTAAATTACTGAATTATTCTTTCTATAAAAAGCAAATCAGAAATTTGTACTGATATGTAACCTATATTTTATAGGGCCTTGTGAACCAAAAATACATTTCAACACTGATGATAAAAATAACGAACTGAAGTTAGAGTGGAATGATGTTCGAGGTGCATTACGTTACGAAGTTGATATATACACACCCAACTCAGAAAGTCCTCTTTTCCATAATGACAATGGTAAGAACACCACTTGGACGCGAGCTTTTGATGAAACATTTGGATATGGAACTTCCTATAAAGCTGTTATAACTGCTGTTGGACCTGGAAATAAAACAAATTCATCAGAAACATCAACAAAAACTATCGGTAAGTAAAACATTTTTTAATAATTTTGTTGTAATTCAGACAGCTCCAAGAACCTATAGTTAAGAAATTTTTACAAATACTCTGTGATGATATCATATAATTACTGACTAAAATAAAAATTTTGCATTTTTTGCTTAGGAGAAGAACTAGTGCCTACAAATGTAAAAGCAACTATAAATGAAGAAAAAGTAACAGATCCAAACACACAAGTATTTTTAACATGGGAGCAACCGGAAAAAATGCCGAATACATACAAAGTTTTTGTTGACAACAAAGAAATTAATGAAATAAATACTAAATTTGTTGGATTATCTTGCTTGGTATCTGGCTTAAAAGCCGGCACAGATTACCTATTCAAAGTTGCTGGAGTTCATACCTTTAACAACAAGGAAGTTGTCAGCGGAGGATGCTTCTCGAACAAAATACAAACAAATCCAAGTGGGTCTATTTTGCATACATTGCCTTTTCATTAACTGTGGCTACTATTTATACTGGTAATGTTATTTTACTAAATATACATTTCATTAAATAATCGCTAGTCATAAATGACAGACCTTTTATAATGAATATCTAACTCCCGAAGCCAATAGTATATTGTTATTACAGTTATTAGCTTTTCTATATAATCTCTGGTAAACAGTGTTAGTTAAATATTTCATACGGTTTACACCGTCAATATAAAGTATAGTAGTTTCAAAACTTTAGAGTTCTTTTTTTTTAATTAGATATTAGAACCTCAGGTGTCGCTGCTCGATAACCAATTTGGTTTCCCACGACTTCCCTTCCCCAGTAAAACTGTGTAAATTATCCTTTTGTCGTAATTTATGATTGAGATATTTTTTTTACTGGTTAAAAAAAATAAACTTGACAATAACTTGAATCAGAATTTGAAAGACAAACATCAAACATCTTATTTGGGCTTTTATCAACTTTTTTCAATTTTGACTCAGTTTGCCTGAAAGATTAATTGGTCAAGTAATTAAAATGGCCATTGATATTTGCCCATCAATAATATTATGTCTTACTTATTAAAACAGTTATGACGCCCTAATTAATACATTGCAGCTCCTACACAAGTGAAAAACTTGTTTGGCAAGCTCGGAGAGGACCCAAGTACAATGGTTCACATTGCATGGGATAAAGTTGATGCTGAAAGACCATATGACTCAACAAATTACAGAGTTTGTGTTACCACAGAAGATGAAAAATATTACAGAGAAATATATGTCACTACTGAGGAAGTGCTGTTTACAGGACTGGAACCTGCAACAACTTATGTTTGCACAGTCGCGGGTGGTAACTCACTTGGATATGGAAGAAATTCAGAGGCATATAAAATAACTACGAGTAAGAGCTTATTGTTTTTTTTTTGTATAAGTATAAGTTTATTTCGACTCCATAATCAGCAAAACAATAAAATGATTGTTAAAAATGAATAAATAAAAACTGATTATGAAATCAGGAGAGCGAACAAAACCTTAGATAAGGCTTAACATACAAAATGTATATAAGATGGAAGGTTTTGCCAAGAAGATGCGGTACGTGTTCACTCACCTAAAATAATTGAAATATTTCACACACGCTCACGCTATAAAGGGGAGTGAACAGTAAAGATAAACTTTTATGAAAAATATATTGCCAAGCTGATTATAGATGGAGTCAAATGCCAAAATGCCCAACCAAAGTTGCCAGAATCAGGTGCATGAAGAGGTGGGCTAGACCACTTCATTCCCCATACTAAAGCCTATTATTGCCAAATTATAGTTCAAATTGTAATAAGTATTTAAATGTACCAGTAACTTTATTTATAAGTATGAGCAGTTATAATTAATTAAGGTAGGAAGACAGGGTATAGGAATATGTTGGTTACTAAGGTTATAAGAGGTTTTTTTAATTCTTAGATATTGAGTAGGATATTCAAGGGTTACATATTTGGAAACAGCACTACCCTACACTTTTGTTGAGAATAAATTATTATTTTGAGTAGATATTGATTATTAGTTATTTATCTTTAAAACGCTAGTTCAAAGACCAGAGCTGAATTATGGTTGGGACACAGGGTAAATTCCTGCAAACCATGCAGAAACTCTCAAACCACACTGACCATTCGTATGTTGGCCTTCACATTAACTTCACAGCAGAACCTCAACCTAGGATAAAATTTGTATACACACTACACTAGACAAATCATAGAATACCACAACAAATCAAAACGAACAAATTAAAACGAAGGGGAGAATCCAATATATCTGGACTGTCGCCTAATTACAATAATAGGTACAGGAGCTAAACTATATGGTCTTGTATTGATTTGATTTACTGATTCAAGCATTTATTCAGAATTCGGGACTCCAAAACGTGTTCAACTTTCAGCAAAAGGTAACTCAACTTCAAATTCACTGACATTGAGCTTTCTACATGCTGAAGGAAATGCTAAACAATACATTGCTGTGATGTACAAACACCAGGATACTGTAAAATATCAGGTTATTGGACCCATTTCTGTTGTATCTGGATATATATTTGAAGGTTTAGATTTGAATTCAACCTATTCAGTGAAAGTGCATGGTGTATTTGCAACTGGAGAAGGCGATGCATACTGGTCCAATGAATATACAACAGGTATAATATACACGATTCACTTTATTGATTCATCATACAAAGTAAGTTAGGAGTTAAGTTGACTTGTTTTTTTTTGCAAGCACCTGCAAGAACAGAAATCATAAAAGCTGATTGCACAGTTGATAACGAAGGAAATTTGAGTTCAAGAGAAATACATATAAAATGGAAACCTGATTCTGAATGCAATGAACATGAAGTTCGTATCAAACGTGGTCGTTATAGTGTCATAGAAAGTCGGCTTACAGTGGAAAATACAAATGAGTTGTCTACCATGCTTACATGAAGCAACACAATACATGGTTGAAGTGAGATCAAAAAACAGGCAATGCTTTGGAGAATGGTCTGAACTAGCGATAGTTGATTTAGGTGAGAATACTGAAATAAGTTGACAATCCCCTAGAACAGGGGTCACCAAACTACGGCCCGGATCCGGCCCTGTGATGTCATTTTATCCGGCCCGCAATAACACGCAAAAATGGCTGAATTTTTTTCAAAGGGAGATTTTCCCGAGCATCGTCTTCTTTGTTTATTTTGTAACATTGGCCGATCAGCAGGTTGCAAAAAAAGTGACGTAATAATAGGCCTCTTCGCATCCGCTCAGACACTTTTGTCACCTTGACAGATCTTCAGTCGTGGTTGTAAACAATATTTCGTTTTTGTGACTTTGAATGCTATTCGTTACTTTTTAGTTGTGTATTGGAAATTTAAGTATGAATCAAATAAGTCAATTATCATTTGCCTCCTTAGGAGTTGTAGTTTCAATAGTAGTAATGAAAAATTAGTCTAAAAATACAGCTGTGACAAAATAGGCTAAAATTCTCTACCGGTACGCAACGTTTTCTGCGAAAGATGTACTTGTACACTCGTGGCGCGTGCTTTCTAAGAAACAGTTTACGTTTCTTGTGCTAAAATAAACGTCCAATGTGCATTTTGCGCTAACAGTACTGTAATCCCTCGCGTACTGCTCCAATTTCACAAGTCTCACTAACTTTCGTACTGTCTAAATGCGGATATTCATGTAGGTATGATCGTAAGTATACCATCATTAATTTGCACTACGTATAACTGGAGCTTATTTTTTAAAAGCGTCGAATGTTAGGAAATTTATGCGCTAATGAAAAAAATCAAATCCAGATAATAGTTGTTTATTTTATCTAAATTATGTCAAAATTTCATGAAATTCCAAGCTACAGCAGGCAGTCCGTAGTCGTTCTTATGAGCGGAATTCCATTCCAACACTGCGTAACGGTACTTAGCAAACATGATGCGTACATTTTTGGCGCAAAAAAGCGGATTTTGTAACATTCATAATTCATGACAGCAACGTTTTGATAACAGCTAAACTCAGGATAGTTGTCTAGATATAAAAATCTTGTATACCGTATATGATCGCGAATGGGCCGAGTTTAAAACTCAAAAAAAAAGTTGCCAAACTAAGGGACCGTCGACCGTCAACAGTGTCGATTTAATTTTATTTTAGGGAGTCGGCCTATTCGCGAGATAGGCGTAATTTCGAGAAAATACGGTATTTGTTTTCCTGGGATGTTCTCGATCTATATTCTGAGATATACCGGTAGATAGAATTTAATATTTAAGTCTTCAGAAATGTAGAATTTACGGTATATTGTTGAATAAATTGGATGGATTTCCCAACTTTTGTAAATTTATTGTATTGCATTGACAAAAATATTCATCCGGCCCGTTTCAACACAGTTCGAGTCATACCCGGCCCGCGGTCAAAAAAGTTTGGTGACCCTTGCCCTAGAAAATAAGAAAGCTCCCCAAAACAATAGATATATGACCAGACTGTACATTTCCTGCACACGACCAATTCAAATAAAATATTTCTATAATAATATAAAATCTTGAAGTTATACACGTTTCTAATGATATAATAACTTTTTTATTGCAGCACCATCCAAATTAGAGAACGTCACTGCCAGTTTGGAAGAAAAAGGAAATCACATTGTGGTGCAATGTGGTATTGCTGGAAGGGTTTGTCCATTCTATTTCGTGCAGGCATATTGCAATGGACAATTGGAGGGAAGCCCACTTGAAGCTCATAGCAATGCAGATAAAAAAGTGGCTGAGGTTAATTTCAGTCCGAAAGTGCCAGCAGAGAAATATCACTTTGGAATGTGGGGCGAAAATTCAGGAAAAGTCAGAGGGAAAGCTTCTCATTCTGAAACTGTTTTATCAAGTAAGTAACTTAACCATCATTTTTATAGTCAGGTTTAACATTTTTATAAAAAAAAATTTGACCTGAGTTCAGGTTGTGCGCCATCTTGGTGCGCATACTTCAGGAGGTCAAAAAATTCTGATAACTGTATAACGAATTACCAATATAGTTAATGAAATTTTCTTTCAAATGATGGACTTCTCACCATCATAAGATGCTGTAAGACCTAAGTGGTTAAAATTAAATCCAGCGGCTAAATTTAAAATAAGAATAAATTATTTACTCAGTTCTATTTAGGTATTTATATAACAGATGGGTGAAATTGCATGTTCTTATGCTAATCTAAAGATTATTTGAATGGCAACTCATAACACAGCTGAAATACTATTTATCATAGGGCCAGATAAAGGCAAAGTTCCTGTGGCATATTTGAATGATGAGAATCCAAGCACAGAAATTCAAATAAAATGGAGAGCTCAAACAAGATGTGAAAAATATGAACTTAGGATCTGCTGTGCTGATCAAAATAAACCAGAAAACATATTAATATTCGATACAACTTCCTGCAAGTATAAATGCCAATGCCCCGGAAGCAAATACAAAGTGGCAGTCAGAAGTATCTGTGGGACAGTTAAAGGGCATTGGTCGGGTGAATGTGAAATTATTTTAGGTATGTTGTCTAGAACTTATATAATATAGAATACAGTTCAATGATTTTAAGAAACATATATTTCAACTTTTAGCACCCAGTAAAGTGAAATTGCTTGAAGATGATTGTCAAGATCCTGTGAGATTGGTTGCGATCAAGTGGGAACCACTGAAACACAAACCACAAAAATATGTTGTTAAATTGTTTGAAGGGCAAAAAGAACTTGCTACAGAGGAAACAAACGAAACTGAAGTTAGGTTTGAAGGAATTGCCAAACCAGGGTCACTATGCTACTGTACCGTGACAGCAATTGGAGATAAAAAAAACAATTGGTAGAATGTCAAAATCGAAACACTATCGGATAAGTAAGCCCTTTCACTTCTATTTTTAAAAATTTTCTTGAGAATTATTACAAAGGTATCAACATTATGTTACAGTGTGGTCAAAGCCAAGCTACTTCACAATTACACCAGATGTAAATAATCTATCTCAATGTGCTAATATGAGGTGGGAAAATCCATATGGTGTGAACTGTTTTAAACTTCAAATTGAAAACAACCAAACTGGTGTTTCTTCTGAGATATTACTTGAAAATGACAACTATGCCTATCGAAGTGGCATACCTGGAAACAGATACACTGTTAGATTGTACTGTGGCTGTGACTCACGCTATGACTTGGACTTCAGTCTGGAGACAATGATTATGAGTATGAATTAGTTTATATTACAAACATTTAGTTTATTCAAGTTGATTGAGAGTGAGATATGCATATATACAACACTATGAAATTTAACGATCAGTAGAGGTTGCGCGAGACTAACTCCCAATCCTTTCTCTATGCCTTTGCGCTAGTGGATCCGTATGCATGTAATGCAAGGATGCTGTAGCAGGAATAAAATACCATAATATGCATTTCAAGAGTCCTGCTGCACACTAACACAAATATATTTCTGTAACGATTCGTCTGACCAAAATCAGACTTCCTCAGACAAGCAGTTTACAACAATGACAAGAAAAGAGCAATCATGCAGTTTAAATATATAATTTTGTGAAATGACTGACAAATCTCTTAAAAATTGTCAGATTTATTGGAATCCCGCCTTTAACAAACTATCACATCGACAAGTAAACATTAATAAAGCTTTCCTTTTGGTTAAATTGAGCAATGAAACAGAAATACATGTAATGCTTATTATTATTCACTCAGAACCGGAAGCACCTACTGATATTGTGATTACTCCAAATGGTGATATCCATGGCTTCATAGTAGAATTCAAAGACAAAACTTCACAACGAAAAAAATATGAGGTTACAGCAGAACCACTATCGAAAACATTGAAAATGAAAAGCATTGAAACATACCAACACAAAGCAGTGTTACGAGATTTAATTGATGGAGAATCTTATTCTATAAATGTCACGGCTATTGTGGATAATACAAAGAGTGAGGCAGCAATGAACGAAGGATACGTGAAAACATGTAAGTTTATTTTTATGTGAAATTTCTCAGAACCCAGTCTTAATCCAAATGTTAAGGAATCAATCACTATTGATTATAACAAGTAACCATTGAACTGCAAAAAGATATAATGTAATTTTGTGCCAGAGTTCCTGATAATACAGACAGTATTGAGTATTAGTAAATAATCAATAAAAAACCTCTTCATTTGATTACTAAAACATATACAAAATGATTTTTATCATTTAACAATTTCCAGTTTCAATAATAGATTTTCTAATTTCTAATCGGGAAAATGTAGTTAATAATTTGAAATGTTATCTACATTGCTATTAAATTGATTAACATTGTCTTTTTTTCGTATTTATTCTAGTCATTTGATTATTATTAATCACCTATTTTAAAAATTGATGTTTAGTGCCAAAAAAAATCCAAAACTTGGAATCAGATTTTGATGAAACACTCGTAGCTGTTATCTTCAAGTGGGATGCTCTCAAAATTGAGCCAGACGAATACAAAGTGCAGTGGAGAGTGGGAAATGATACAATAACAGAAGATTCTACGCATGAGCCAAAATTTGAAATTCGGTTTGTGAAACCTGCTCATTGTTACAGTATTCGAGTCGCTGCTACAAATGAGTCTGGTTGTGGGAAGTTAAGCCAGTGGGAAACATTCATAACAGGTATTGTTAATTCTTGGCACTAAGTACAATTTCAATTGACGGTTGTGTTAATACCTGTAAAATAAAATTTATTGTTGCTCTTATATTGAATACTTAAATATGTACCATTATATAAAATTCAATATTAATTTTGTGTAGTATAAATTGTAGCTTATGTTATCTCAAAAATATGTTACTTTGAAAAATTTTACAACATGTCCCAATCACATACAATATGATGTGCATATTTTATTATATTACGTTCATACTTACCATATTTTTGTTTATTTGCAGTCCCGGGCACAGTTTGCAACCTCAAGTCAAGGTTCGACGGTGAGAAAAATATTGTTGTTGAATGGGATCCACTCGACATCGAACCGGATGGATATAAATTTCAATGGAGGATCGGGGATGAAAAAATCACAGAAGAAATAACTAGCACTTATAGATTTACAATCGATTGTCCAACACCAGGCCAGAAATACAGTGCAAGAGTTGCAGCTTTTAATAAAACAGGATGTGGAAAAATGAGTGATTGGGGAAGTATTGGCACAGGTGAGATGTTTTATGAATTTTTTTTTGTGGAGTTGGCGCAATATTCTGATTTCAGTAGCTTTTGCTTTGGTGATGATGTTATGCCATTCATTTGTTTGAAATGATTACAGTGGAATTGCCTCTAGAGCTGGAGGTATGTAACATTTTTTTGGTTGATGGGCCATAGTTTTATGACCAACTTCAGACATCTAGCTGGGCCACACAAAAATTTTGTTTATCAATGGGAGAGAGGCAAGAAAAGAGAAGGCAGATATTGCTCTATGGCAGAGGTTGGGAACCCATGGCTCGCGAGCCATATATGGTATTGCTCTTTTGGTGACGGCATATGGCTCCCAGAAAAAAACAATAATTTAAGGCAAAGCTTACTATTGTTACCAGATTTCTCTTTTATAGCCAAATTTTGCAATAATCTGCCAATACCTTTGGGAACGAGCGCTCAGCGCATGTCTACGTTATGCAAGAAAATTGCCAGACAGGCATTGTGACAAAACTAGGGGATTATATACCATATTTTGTGATATCACGAAGATAAGTCGCGGAAATATAAAGGAATAAAAGTTTTTCTTCCGTTTGTACTGTTTATTTGTAATATTTAGATTAGACTAGCAAGCTAATTTTAAATCGCTACGGAGATGCCCAAATAAAAGAAAGGTGATGAGTATCGTGGATTTCAACTTGTGCTGCGTGTTGTTCAAGGCCCTCAGATACAACATGCAGCATCAGAAGTGACATTAAATGTATATTGACATTGTATGTGTTAACTTTTGAGGAAAAATTAAGACATGATTAAGGGATGAAAAATGTTATTTGGCTCGCACCGAAATGCAATTAAAAATATGTACCTTCCGTGGCTCTCTTGACCAAAAAGGTTTCCGACCCCTACTCTATGGCCTGACATTTACCTGGATCAATCACTATTCCACTGGCGATATTTGAGGAAATCTTCATAGTATTTCCTGGTGTTTAAATTGACGAAATCATATTTGTTTAATTTCCAAATGACTCATATATCAATATATTGAAAAGTTCTTCAGCGTTTATTTCTTGTGCTTGGTTGACTTGAACACAGTTTGGACATTATTAGACTTCCCGCTGCTTGTCAGCAGGGAACCTATTGTATTCCTGTGTTTTATTATTATTAATATTTATTTATTATTATTATTTTTTCAAATTGGTCCCACAAACTTGAAATTCACCTCAAATGTGCAGAAGTTCTCAGCTAGCAATAAAATGCAAATTTTTTTTTACGCGGGAAGCCTGTTAAAGCTGCACGCAGCTCTAGTTTTATTTGAAACCGGACATCAAACTTAAACATAAATTAGATATATAAATTTTTTCATATAGTTAGTTCATATAGTTAATAGTTCACATTTTTTGCTTCAAACAACGTCATGTACATGCAACCACTGATATCTAGTAACAATAACAATGTGTAAAGAAGTACTTTTTTTGGAAGGATCGAATGGACAAAAAGCTTTTTGGTATGACATTGTCTACCCAATTCATTACACCCTGGGCGAGGTGAAGTTGTTGACATGGAATTTGTACCTGATATTTGTAACATGCGATTTCAATACACTCAGGTTTAATGTTTCAATTGCTAGGCTATCACTCTCCCGTTCACATAACTCCTGTAGGACTTTCTTCTAATCACATGTAAATTATATGACAAACTTTTTTTTCTAGAGGGTAATTCTACAAACAAACAGTCTCAGAGAAATACAATGTCCTGTGATAAACAAGATCCTGTGTCTTTTCGGTCTGATCCTGATACTGGTGATGGTGAGTAATGATTTGCTGATTGAAAACTGTGTATTTTGATTGCATGATAGACTGGCAGCATGAAGGTCAAACCTCATTTTGAGGCAAAGTTTTTTCAATTAATGATCTTGGTAACATAAATAATGATATACAGGTGGGTATGAAGCTTAAGATGTTGATAATTTTTTTTAATAAGATTTTCATTTGCATTCATGAGCTTAAATTCAATTTCCCCTATATTCTGCATTTATGTAAACATATATTTCAGCAGTGTTAACCGTAAGCAAATTATGAGTGCGAAAGTGCTTCGCAGTCGAAAAAAAAACTGCGAAAGTGCTTTTGCCGATTTTAACAAGTTAGGTGCCCTAGCCTTTCATATAACCCATTTAAAACGGCATAGATACTCGAAAAAGCGCTCCTCCGGTTAATATTATGAATTAAAGAGAAGCCTTTTCGTTAACCGAGTTTCCTTCAAGCGAATTCATGTTTAATTAAAACAAGCGAATCGGCAACAAAATGACATCTGCTAACACCTGCGGCGGACAAAACTTTCATGCAATGTATCACTGTGTCAGTTGCTTACTCGCGTAAACAGCAAAGACTTTCACATTTGTTACTCCTTCCATCTAACAGACACGAGGCAGGCTGGAAACCATATTAGTTACAGGGTGGATCGTTTATACAAATACCGTGCAAAATAATACCCCCCAAATATAAATAGTAATCAACTAATTAGGGTTAGGTGCGCTGGAAATTCAACTTTTCGGTTTATCCCTAAACTTAATCTGATAATTATTAATTTGTGATTTTGAACCACTTTGAAAGTCGCCGCCACCCGCCTTTTTAAAAGATAGGTTAACCTATGTTCCCTCCGAAATAATAAGCAGGATACTCCCCTGTTTTTGGAGATAGGTTGACCTACTTTCTTTTCAAACTTTTTTCTCCCAAATATTACACAAGATCACTTTGAAAATCTTCCCGTTTCGTGAGCTAGCGTGACCTAATTTCTCATTTACATTTATATTATACTATTTCAGAGCTTACACAAAGACAAGTAATTTTTAAATGTCAACATGCCTTGGTTTGCTTGGTAGTTAGTTTGAATCGAGCAGAAAACATCATATATTGGCAAAATGTTTAGTAATGCCATGTACTTTCAGCATTCATAAATAGCACTCTTTGTAATGCTGCTGACCTAGTATCAAATATTCGCATCACAACGCCACTTGTGAGGTTTCCATATATTTCAATTACACTAATAGGAACGATGACACCAAAGAGTTTTCTTTTGCGAAGGTACACTAAATATAACAAGGGTGATTCTTGAGAAAAACATGAAATTAAAAAATAAACGAATGATATGATAGTGAATCCCAAATAATTTTGAGAGTGTCTCGGAGTGCCAATCCATTTGATAAATAATTTTTATTTGACCACATGAACGCTAATATCCTGAAAATTAATGTTGAAAGAAAATTACGCATTCTCAGATATCGGACATCCGGTCACGATATTCAATCGTTCATATGCACAAATCTCACATTAATAGTAATTGCTACCCAAGTTTGTAAAGTTTAGAAACCAACAAACAGAAAATAACTTATCCTAAAACACAATTAAAATTCAGTCGGCAATAAATTCGTCGCCAAGACATGCCATACAAAACAAAAAAGATTTGGTCGCGAGAGTTACGTGAGATGACTGCCGTTGTTTTTTAAGCAAAATGTAAAAAAATTTATAATTAATAAACGGGAGTTACGACGCCCTTTACACATCGTGTGTATTAAACTTCCCTGGTAAGTACTTTGGTAAGTACTATTATTATTGTACCTAAACACCTGTTGGAGTATTTCGGACAATTTCGAATTTAAAATAAATGAAAACCCGACATATAATAAAGACGCAAAAGTAAAATGAACATTTATTGAAAAAGTTATTATTTAAGGAAGACAACATGATCGTACAATTCCGCCAAAACCTCGATGTTCGCAAGTGAAATGATAAATAAGTACTTCAATTAACTTTAGCGTATCGTTGTTCTGCCAACAAACAGCCTGGTGCAAAATATTTCCGTCCTGTGATATGCTCACAAATATTCTCGATATTAATATCATACCCTCGCGTATGTACTTTCTATTAGCTCTTTAGTGATCCCTTCCATCCTTGGCCAAGTCATGTTTCGAATATGTGAACATTTTATTCGACCATACATGGCCGGCAGGATGTTAAAATTGTAAACAAGAGAGAGGTAAAATCAATCGCGAATTTCGTTATAACGGCTCGTTTACGAATTGTTGCGCCTGTTATCGTCGAAAATGATTACATTTGTTGTATTTTGAGGCATTTAAGCAGTAATAATTAGGGCATGACATCATCAAAATCGTCAAGTGAGATCTTGAAATTGCAAATTCCGTAAATAAAATTGTGAATTATTCGGTAACGAATTCAGCTTTAATGACGGTCGGGGTATTGTTTTGTTGAAAATTATTATTAATGTGAGAGCGCCAAAAACATACAGTCCATACCGATGCGACTGCAATTTATATGGTCGCAATTGGTGTGGCGCGTTTATTAATAGTGTAAAATAAATTAAACGAATATCAATTATAACCAAGCCTGTCAGCGTGTTTATTTTCTGTGTGCAGGAATCGTAAAATACCATCTTGAGACAAATTCACTTCTATTATAAAATCTTAATTTTCAGTTATTATCGTTATACAAATAACATGTGGCAACTTTTTAATTTATCGTCGACCAAAAAAACGCCCCACACTCGTCCAAACGTGTGTCGAGCTTGAACGACAGGAACAGATTCATCGACAACCTTAATTAGGGAAAATATGTATTTTATTGGAATGCAAAATAAATGAAACAAAACGCATTTTTTTGTGATATAACTTTGTATTTTTTGAAACGGGTTGTCGTGAAAGGTAAAATTTGATCTAAATTAATCGCAAAAATGTTTTACTTTAAATGTAACAAAACACATTTTCGCGATATAACCTTGTATTTTCGGAAACTGGTGTAGTGAAAAGTAAAATATGATCTAAATTAATCGCAAAAATGTTTTATTTTAAATGTAACAAAACACATTTTTCGAGATACAACTGTATTCTCGGATACCGGGTGTCATGGAGAGTAAAATATGATCTGAATTAATGGTAAATAATGTTTCATTCCAAATATATCATAACACATTTTTTGCGATATAACTTTGTATTTTCGAAAACGGGGCGTCACGAAAATTATTAATCTAATGTTTTATCTATCGTCTAACTAACGTCTAGAACACATCATTTTCGGGGAGAACTCTAGCCCGCGAAACGTCATTTAATTTAAAATAGAGAATGTTTCACGCATTTCAAAACGGAAAATCACCAGTGAGGGGACAGGGATTCAACCCTCCGGATTCAGTATTCTATATCCCGGTGTCAGAACTTTCTGAAGAATGGAACAAAAAAACCGTCAAACCGCCGCGGAATAAGGGGAGTATTTTTTGCACTAATAATTAGGGCGTGACAATATCAAAATCGTCAAGAAATTGGTGAATTTGCAAATTCCATAAATAAAATTGTGAATTGCTGGTAACATTTTAGCTATAATTGTCGCCGGGGTATTGTTTCGTTGAAAACACGTTGAAACTTGAGGGAATTAGTTACAATTAGCGCCTGACCTCTATTGGGCACTCGAGCACTCGAGCCCAATCTTTTCAGCATTAAGTCGCATACGTAAAATATCCTGTAAAAGAAGTGCTGTTCATTAACGTCATCTCGTCTTATGACCACGCAGAAATGCCTTTATAGCCGAATTATTCGATCACTATTTCAAATCAATATTCACGATTGGCACAATTTCAGATTTGCGAAGTTTATCACCATAGAAATACGGGAGAAAGTTAATTATCGGCTTAATAAATATCTGCATCACGGTATGGACAATAATATTACCATTCGCATAAAATTGGGACGGTAAATTTACAAATCTTGATAGGTAATAATAAAGCCAACGCAAATGTTAATTTGAGTCCTCAATGTCTTCAACACCTGTTGCCGATGTGAACGAACGGGTAAACCCGAAATATAAAACTTTGATGTCCGCCGACCCACAAGAATTCATATTTGTAAAAAAGAGAGGGCGGGAATATAGATTACCCAAAACCTGGATATCGCCGCCAAAACGATCGGTGACAAGAACAATTAGCGATTACAACGGAATTAACCAGTAAAAAGGCTTTGTTGCCGATTTTTTAATGTTTTCACCTTGTTTATTTGGTACTCCTTAAAAATATTCGATTCAAAAAAATATTGAATTTTGCCCACCCGTCCTCGCATATCAATGAGAAATAGTTGTGTAAATATCGCAAAATTCCGGAAAATGCCAGTCCTTTCAACATTGTGATTACAATAAAATGGCACTTAATGGTATTTTGTGAATTTGTTGATTTTGCAAATCTGTGACATGCTGCTAAAAGTTTCGTCTGATTTGAAAATCGTGCAGTTTGGTCACAATTCATCCAAAGTGACTATAACACCTTACTAACACTTTTATAGTCATTTTGAATTCATCGATATCATTGATAGTCACATGACCACTCTGTTCAAAGAAACGCCCGGGGAGCGTTTTTTGTGGGAGAAGCGGAATCGGCTGTGCTTGTATAATAATCATATTATAAACAAGAATTTTGCGGTTAATGCAAAAGCTATGTCTGCATCTCATAGGTTAGAATTCCGGTAAATATCGTTATGATATGCAGAATTGAGTTACAAAAGTACTAGTATGTTACTTATTTGTCAACTTAATACTCGAAAATATTTGTTAACTTTGAATTTTTATTCCATTCAAAATCGGAAAAAAGTGCTATTTCGCAGTCCCTAAAAAAAGTTGAGAAAGTGCTTCGCAATTTTCGCAAAAAAGTGCGCTAATAGTGAACACTGTATTTCAGAACTAATTAAATAGTATATTTTGAAGAAGTTTTTTACAATGTTACAACTCTTTATTCAGTTTCACAAATAGTAGAATAT